CGTATTCTGAATTCTATTGTCTCTATATTTTTTTGAAGATTTTTTCTTTTGAAAGGGGAAAAAAATCATGAAATTCAATTGATTTCTTTGACTACTTTAATTAACTAAGTATAAAATTAACTAAAGTAGTCAAAGAAATCAATTGAGTTTCATGATTTTTCCCCTTTCAAAAAAAAATCTCGAAAAAAATATAGAGACAATAGAATTCAGAATATTATGGTAAAAAAAATACAATTTGAAAAAAGTTGATGACCCCCATACAATTCCCCAAACTGACGTTCTGCACGTCTAGTTGACTCGTGTCAGGTGCAGGACTAACCCTCAAATCACAAGCAACTATGGTGTCCATAAGATTATTAAATTTCTGTAACACAAAAATGGCCCACACACAGTTTATCACATCCCACCCCGACCCTTATCAAATGAAAATGATCTGATTGACACAGCATTAGGTTTTAAGTAAACTCTGTGTCTAGTTAGATTTTATCTCTCTAATACAGCTATGGCTCACACCAGAATTCCAACATTTTTCTTTGTCTAAATAATACCTGATAAAAGTCATAACACAAAATATTTTCTCTGGAGACTGTGTTCAAGTAATACCAGGTCAAGGTCATGACAAACCCATGGTCATGTCCATCTCTGTGTAAGATATAAGCAGAAGCCATATAAATGCTTTTTTCAAAGTTATGGCCATGACATGGCAATCCCTCCTCATAACATAAACAGACAAGGCAATTCCTATATACCAGGGCCAAGCTTAAAAAATTCTTGGTTTGCAGTTGTCAACCTAAATTTTTAGAATGGGCGGTATTTTTTTTTATTTTTCTAAAAAAATGTAGTTTTCAAATATGTTTTAACTAACAAAAATAGGCTTACTTAACATAAGCTCCTCTTGTTATAAGTCACTGATTGATAATACCAAAAATCGAAAATGAAACATGCAGTTTCACTATCCTGAAAGCTTGAAGCTTAAAAAAAATAATACAAAATAGCTGGAAAAAGTTTGGGTCAGGTGCATTTTCAGTGGGTCACTAGGCAGCTGAAAAAATATATTTTAGTCCCAGGCTCTTCATTTGCAGGGGTAAGATAACATTGATAAGGTAACACTTTTATCAGTTAAAGATTATGTATTTATTTCTCAAAGTGAGGAATACACACATAATAGTATTCACAATCAAGTATTTTACGACAGTGACCCACAAACACGAACAGACAAATATCTATATCACATATTTAAACTGATACTGATCCAAAAACCATAATCAGACACATTCTAATACAAAAAATCTTAAAACAGTGAATCACATTCTATGAAAGTAATGATTACTCAGTGATCAAGAAACCATAAACACATGCATAATTGAACTGCCATAACCAAACTTCTACAATGTTTTGAACAAACATTCTATGACAGTGACCCACAATCCATGAACAGACACATACATGTATATATGACAGTGTTCAACAAAGCATGAACATTTTCATATATATGTATTCATGTACACAACTGTCTTAACTCAAAGACACAAAAAAGTCATGAACAAACTACAGGCAAAATATTAGAACAAACAACCTACGACAATGACCTACAATCCATGATAGAACAAACAATTTATGACAGTGACCCACAATCCATGAACAGACTCATACATGTATATATATGACAGTGATCCACAAACTATGAACTTTTCATATATGTATGCATATACACAAATGTCTTTACTCGAGGACACAAAAAGTCATGAACAAACTACAGGAAAAATGATAGAACATATCATGATATTACAACAATATATATCATGATATTACAACAAACAATATATGACAGTGACCCACAATCCATGAACAGACACAAACACTTATATATGACAGTGATCAACAAACCATAAACATTTTTATATATATGTATGCATATACACAAATGTCTTTACTCCAAGGCACAAAAAGTCATGAACAAAATAAAGGAAAAATGTTAGAACAAACAATCTATGACAGTGACCCACAAACCATGAACAGACACATACATGTATATATGACAGTGTTCAACAAAGCATGAACATTTTCATATATATATATATTCATGTACACAACTGTCTTAACTCAAAGACACAAAAAAGTCATGAACAAACTACAGGCAAAATATTAGAACAACCTATGACAATGACCTACAATCCATGATAGAACAAACAATCTATGACAGTGACCCACAATCCATGAACAGACACATACATGTATATATATGACAGTGATCCACAAACTATGAACATTTTCATATATGTATGCATATACACAAATGTCTTTACTCGAGGACACAAAAAGTCATGAACAAACTACAGGAAAAATGATAGAACAAACAATATATGACAGTGACCCACAATCCATGAACAGACACAAACACTTATATATATATGACAGTGATCCACTAACCATGAACATTTTCATATATATGTATGCATGTACACAACTGTCTTAACTCAATGACACAAAAAAGTCATGAACAAACTACAGGTAAAATATTACAACAAACAATCTATGACAGTGACCCATAACCCATGAACAGACACATACACGTATATATGACAGTGATCAACAAACCATGAACATTTATATATATATGTATGCATATACACAAATGTCTTAACTCAAGGACACAAAAAGTCATGAACAAACTACAGGAAAAATGTTAGAACAAACAATCTATGACAGTGACCCACAACCCATGAACAGACACAAACACTTATATATGACAGTGATCAACAAACCATGAACATTTTCATATATATGTATGCATGTACACAACTGTCTTAACCCAAAGACACAAAAAGGTCATGAACAAACTACAGGCAAAATATTAGAACCAACAACCTATGACAATGACCTACAATCCATGATAGAACAAACAATCTATGACAGTGACCCACAATCCATGAACAGACACATACATGTATATATATGACAGTGATCCACAAACTATGAACATTTTTATATATATATGTATGCCTATACACAAATGTCTTAACTCAAAGACACAAAAAGTCATGAACAAACTACAGGAAAAATGTAAGAACAAACAATATATGACAGTGACCCACAACCCATGAACAGACACAAACACTTATTTACATGACAGTGATCAACAAACCATGAACATTTTCATATATATGTATGCATATACACAAATGTCTATACACAAAGACATAAAAAAGTCATGAACAAACTACAGGAAAAATGTAAGAACAAACAATCTATGACAGTGACCCACAATCCACCATGAACAGACACATGCATGTAAATATGACAGTAATCCACAAACCACATATACATGTATGCATATACACAAATGATACAAAAATACATAAAAAAACTACAGAAAAAAAATTGTAAAATGTTAGAACAATAAATAACCGTGACCCACAATCCAAGAAGTTGAACGGATATGACAATGACCCACAAACTATACACAAACTACGGAACAACCAATATACCAATATATAAAATATTTACCTCCTGGAGAATATTGATATACAATTCAAGCTTTGATACTATAATTAACAAGCATTTTGACAATCTAAAAATAAATTATTTATTTTTAGAACTAAGATTTGATTTTATTAACTTTGTTAGTGTAAAAATCCTTCAAAAAATCACACAAAATACGAAATCTGATGTACAGGTTCTAGACAGACATTACTTGAAAAATTGATGTCACTTTATAATTCTTTTTTTCCTATAGAATAGATATATATTTTATCACCTCTGGCTTGTGAACATGACTGTTTAGTCTTTATTTATCATTTATTGCATAAATATTTACATTTCCAATGTCTTTGTCCGAGATAAAATTACAAATTGTAAAAATACTTTATTTCTACATAAATCTACTGGTTCATCGATAGGCGCGGTTAAAAAAAAATCATGTGCGGGGCGGGACAAATAGAGACAGAAGCGGGGCTATTAGCACAGGAATTTGCAGAATCAGGAGCATGTAAATATAAGGAATAACTGTCAGATTTTTTGGATTCATGACGATGATCAATCGATTGGCTTGCGTGATAATTTTATGCATAAACGCCTTTGGCGTTTATGCAAATTATCACGCAAGCCACTCGATTGATCACATCATGAATCCAAAAAATACGACAGTTATTCCTTAAATGAGTTTTAATAAAACATAATTTCACCACGAGAATTTAATTTCTTGTTCGTCGCACATCTGGTGAAAAAAGTAAGAGCGGGCAAGAGATTAAATAATAATATTATTACTTTTTTGTATGCAAAATTTTTAGGCATAACATGAAAAAAATTGAGTGACAATTATATTTTTTCTACTTTTTTCTGATTTGTAGAGTAAACAGATTTAAATTATCAAAAATAGAGCGGAAATAAAACAGAAACTGGCACAGAATTTCCCAGGTGCAGGAGATTTAAATTAATATTATTTGTATAGCTTTGTTCAAATAAGAGCGTGCGGGTCCGACAAGCAAAACATTAAATTGGAATGGCCTTTGTATTTGATTTTATTTATGAAAATTGATAATGGCACATGTCACATATTCACATCAAAACTTATCACTTTTGGAATTGCAAAGCAGTGTATCAACAGACTTTTCATATTTGAAACTAATTATTTTTTTTTCTGCATAATAAAGCATAATTCAAAATGTACCGGTAGTATTTTCAGATTAAGATGGACTTAACTGTAGAAAAAGACAGTTTTATATTCAGTCCACATATCAGCTTCAGAGCAAATAATTAACCACACACACATGAACACCATTAGGGTCTTGGCTTATCTGCGGAAAAAGTTTATATTCTGCAAAATGGTCTTCACTGGTTTGTGGAACATGTGCAAGTTTTCCATCAGGGTCTGCCTCAATAATCCACTCTAAGGAACATGCAAAGAAGAACTGACAATGTAATATAAGTTATGCTACAAGTCTTGTATTGAAATTTCCTCCTATATTTCAGAAGAGTTACACATACCTGTATTAAATTGCCTAAGCTGTTGAACATGTGAATTTACAAGGTCCTGACTAGTCTGTACAATCTGTGGAACATGTAGAAATGCTGCAACAGGGTTTGCCTCCAAAATGCTTCCTATAATATATGTGCAAAACAAAATTAATTGTGATTATATTTATGCCTGCAACTACATTCAGATACCTTTAATGTAAGCTATTTCGATGCATTTTGAATAGAAATTTAACATGCTATTAAATAAATGTTTTTAACATAAAATAAATTAATAAAAAAGTATCAAATAAACTAATTGTTTTTTTATATATCACTAAACAGCAAGGGCAATGGTCACCCAGGTGTAAATTGTACAATCAACTGAGAAGTCCTATTAGGTAGACCCTAATTGTAAGGGTCATTATGACAATTTATCAAAGGATTTTGGATCAGGCTAAACAAGAAATATACTAAACTTCAAAGTTCGCAGAAATGTTCTTTCTATAAATATCTACTTGATGGGTTTTACCTACAGTATTATTTAAGAAATTCAATTCTGACTAAGTTTCAAAAATGTATATCAAAGTTAAGATTATCTTCACACCTTTTAGCTATTGAAACTGGATATAATAAAGCAAACAGATCCCACTGGAAATGTTTTTTTGTGTCATACTTGTGTTGAGGATGAATATCACTTTCTACTAGTATGTCCTGTTTATCGAGATTATCAATGCAAATTATTTCTTTTTAAAAAAACATCCATACGTATAAATTACTGCAATTGTTCAATACTAAGAACTTTAAGGATATGTGTAACCTAGGTAAATATATTTATTATAGCATGAGGCAAAGAGGTGATCCTGTACATATAATCAAATATCAGCTGTCTCATTTAAAGTCATCATTTCGTAAGTTCTATGGTCGATACAATGACCATGTCAGCAAATACAATTTATCATTGAGTCAAATGCTGACTGATGTTTTTCATACTAATTGTTAGACCATTATTTACACACTGAATTGTCGACGGATTTTTCTGTTATTTCCCAATCATGACAAGGAGCACACGGCGGGTGTGACCGGTCGGCAGGGGATGCTCACTCCTCCATGGCACCTGATCCCACCTCTGATGTTTGGAGGTCCGTGTTTGCTCTGCTCCTATTTTGTATTGTATAATGGACTTTTGAGCTTGAATACTGTTCGTTATCTCCATATATTTCATATCAAGGTGATCTTGTAATCCAATAATAATAATCACTCTAACCTTGTCTTACAGGTATTATTTTCAATAATTTACTTTATTTAGGCAAAAAAAAAATAATAGTCTTGTTTTTTTTTAAATTTTGGAAGAAAAAAATCTTGAATTTCCGGAATTTCATCGTTCTGTCACCATAATCGTTTTCTGTGATAACACAAAACAAGCATTTCATGAAATTCTTGTTTTAAATGTGGACTTTCATAGAATACCACTTGAGTTTAGTCAAAAGACATGAAATTTGATTTTAAAAGACAATATTGACCTGTGACATGTTTACAGTCCCTGAAACGTTCTACTTTCCCACTTGAACGGTGAGCGAACGCTGAACGAACGGTGAACGAACGCAGAACGAACGGTGAGTGAACGATGTGTGAACGCTGAACGCAACTTGGTGAACGATGTGTGAACGGTGAGCGAACGCAGAACGCGAACGGAGCGCAAACGCGAACGCAAAGTGAACGGTGAATGAAAGGTGAACGCAAGATGAACGATATATTCGGAATGCCTCTGATATTTTCCCTGCGTTGAAATTATTTTATTGTATTAAAATGTTAGGTGCCAAAAAAATAAATAAATAAATAAATAGTAAATAAGTAAACCAATAAATGAATGAATAAATAAGTCAATAAAATAAATTCTCCAAAATTGTCCTAAGAAAGACGATGCATGCACATAAGTTTTTAATCACATGATTCTTATCGCATTAAAACATTGCAATTGTTGCCGAACGCTGAAGTATAAACAAATCAGAGAAAACTTCTGACTTATAGAATGAATTAAAGCGGCTGTAACATCCATTCATATATCTCCGTGTCAGGGCGATTTCGTGTAAAGTAATGAAAAAAAAAATAATTACAAAGGTCAGTGGACGTTTTGCATTTATACGCTCGTATTTTAAATTTTTAATACAATAATATATTATGTGTCATTTCTATTTTTCATGATGATTTATTGAGCAGACTTCTACATGTAAATGTAGATGGCCGTGGTTATACTCGGACAAGATAATACAAAGATACATATTCATATTATTTGTTATAAATTCAATTTTCCGAACTTGATATTTATGTAGTATGCTGTTATAGTTTTTATTAAACAGACAAATGAGAGAGAAAGAGAGAGAGAGAGAGAGAGAGAGAGAGATTCCGTTTTAGCCCCCCCCCCTCCTTTCAGGCTTCACTAAATGTTTGTACCCATATTAAACAAAAACTCTGAAAATTTTTTCTAAATATATCAGACAGTGAAAGTAACTTTTTTTTCTGTCAATCAAAATCATTCGACACTGTGCAGGTGTGAAAGTTTCGTCACATAGAAGACGAAGTGCGAGTATTTCCAACAAGATATAACATTTATTTTTATCATTTCTAGATTTGATCCCAACATTTGAATAATAAATGAATAAAATACATTGGGCATTAACACTTGAATTTGAAACATACTCTCTGCCAATTTCAAATACCACCGCCGACACGTGTACATTTTAAACTACTATTGTTTTGTGACTTTTTTAGATGCATGTTTGTTTTGAGACTGAAATTTTTGTTCTAAAAAAGACCTTAACTTATTTTAAAAAAAAAATGTTGATTAAATTATTCTGGAAGTACAGTACTGACTAAGTAACCAATCTAGGGGGAAAATAAGGGGGGTATTAATCATATCGAATGGCAAACATATAAAGTTACGTTGAAGAAAGATTTTTTTTCTCTATAACTATAGACTTTACATATTATATTACAGAAAATTCTGTAGTGCAGTACATTTCAAATAAATATTTCCTTTAACCACAGTATCAATTTAATTCGCTCCAAAGATAATAAATTAATAGGATATCCGCAGTACTATGTATAACTCTCAGAACTAGTTCTATCATATTTTCTGTAGTAATTGAAAAAAAAAACGTGTTAGAAATAAATATTTTCGTAATTTTGCTGCGTAATTATTTGACTTAGATACATATGTAATTATGTCACCATTAACGATTTGTCGTCTTTAACAAAATAACAAAATGTTGCAGTGCTTGAAGTATTTGCACATTGCCCTTAATAATATATTTAATATTTCAGCATCGTTCTACATAGGTACAGAATGTGCTTATAACAACATTTATTTTCCAGAGTGATTTAATAAATAATCTAACAGCTAAGTTAGAATAATAAAAATATATATCGTAGATATTTTTCAACATGAAATAATGATTCTTCAAACACGATATGTTAGTTATTAAATTAAAAAACCTGTAACTCATTCCCTACAAAAAGATAAGTCCTTTCACTTCGGAGTTCCGAATGACAATGAAAACTGAACGAAAGGTGAACGCTGAACGCAAGGTGAACGCAAAGTGAACGGAACGAAGAGCGAACGCTGAACGCTTTGTGAACAGTTAACGCGAGCGCACCGTGAACGGTGAACGCAAAACTGTGAACGGAGAGCGAACGGTGAACACACGGTGAACGAACGGTGAACGCACGCTGAACGAACGGTGAGCGAACGGAAAAATGGGAAAGTAGAACGTTTCAGGGACTGTAATTTTATCTTTTATTAGTTCATATCCAAAAAATGTTGTCTAAAAAAAAAAAATAAAATGAAAATATACAATAAAATAATTTTCCTACCTACCTACCCTATTTTTTTTCAGGCTGGTAGCAGGAAACTAGACTATTTTTTTTGGTCTTATCTAAAATATGGATCACAAAAAGATGTTGTTTTTTCCCCATCAATTTAATTAATTCATCATTTTCACCAATTGCTATTTTCCTATTCTTGGAAAAAAAGATCACAAATTAATATATTTCAATGTACGTGATGTAAACTTCAGAAACTTGCATCTGCTGAACATCAATTTTAGTGCCCTTGTAATCGTAGATTCGGGGGTATATAGTTTTTGCCCTGTGCATCCATCTGTCTGTTTGTCCGCAAAAAAAATCATTAATCATCAAGTCGTAATGTTATGACAGCATGCTTTAATAGTGACTACTTATACAGTTTGATGGAACCACGGACCTATACTATACATCCCTGACAGAATGGCATCCAAACGTCATAAACTTTTTAGAACCTGACCTTGTTATTGAAACATTTGGTCAATTGCTTGCATATTACAACTAATTAAGTGTTTTGGCAGCATTAATAATGACTATTTAATGGGTTAGGTACGTACTATGTAATAATAAGTAAACATGACAAACAGCTGGCAAAGTCCTGTCTCAATAAGTGTCAAACTTGGTATTTTCTTTTGAATAAATTTTAATTCTAGGATCAGTCTTCTTGTGTTCCTCTGTGTACTGTACAACCATAAGGGTGGTTGTATTAATAAAAATATTTCTTTAAACCTAACAAATTGTTTATAGTCACAGTAATACCTTACATCTTTGATTTAGTAAAGACATAAAACATACAGGGTGTTAGTTCCTTGTTTTACTAGTGTTATTCACAAAATATTTTCATTATGGCAAGTGAAATATTCTGAAATGGTGGCCAAAATTTTTTTTAGGTCCTCATTTAGTGACCTGAAAGTAAGTGTGACTTGGAACACTGTTGGGTAAAACATTTTTCATCTCTTGACCTCTCAAGAACATTAAAAAAAAAATGCACTACAAAGAGGATGCAGCGTATCAAATTTGAAAATCCATTATTCTAAATATTTACCTGATGAGTGATGAACTCCAAGGAAGATTGTCCATTGGGCATGGGATCACCATAGTCATATCTGATCTCCTTCCCTCTATCAATATCCCTTCTTGCAAAGAAAAAGCCTGGAGTAGTTGTTAAACACTTTTAACTTCTCATAACATGCATAAGATGGGGTTGTCTATAGCTGCATCATTAACCTACTTTCCAAGCCTTTGGAAGCTGTCAGATGCATCAATGCTTGTAAAATGATAATGAAAACCATAAATTAAAAGTTTAAAGTTACATATAAACAAAATAACATATATGATGAAATATTAGGACTGCAGGAACAATACAGGTTTTATGCAACAATCACAATATAGTAGTCACAATATATGAATCACAATGTATTTTTCCAAAAATAATTTTTGTTTCATACAATTTGCAAGAGTAATAAAAATCCCTGCCACTGCATGATATTGTTCAATTATCGTACACATTTTAGAGTGCAAGAAAATTATGTTATTCTTTACTCTAAAAAATTGTCATCCTAGTGAGACATGACACTCTGCAATTTGTTGTAAAGATATAAAAATCCAAATAAAAAATATAACGCACCAAGGTTAAGGATGCCCACAGGAAATAATACGCCTAAAAATATTCCGAGAAAATAAATATAGTGTTGATTTTTTTTTTTTACAGCATGAGTTTTGATTAATGGGAATTCTACTATTTGCATATGTAGGAGGGTTGTCCCAGAAATACGTGAACATTTTCAATATCTTTTGTTTCACTAATACTGTAAAGTTAAAAATAGGCATAGATCATGATCAACATTTTTGTGAATTTTTTCTGGAAATGTGCTTCTGATAAAATTAGTTTATTTAAGCATAAATTCGGCACAGTATTTAATTTTATTTTATTTACCAAGTAATGCATCTCAAATACAGCGTGTGTTGCTAAAAGATTGTGGAATTAATTCTTTCAATAGACAATTTCTCAATTCCGATAATAAACCTAACAGTTCACATTGTTTAACGATGGCCTTGGCTTAGGCTTATGACGTAAAGCTCAGGACTTTCAGTTTGTCTTCATTTCTTTTGGTCTACAAAATGTCTCTTCCAGCACTAATATCTCTTTCATCGTATGGGCAAGAGTCCTGTCCCATTTTAAAGACAGTGCTGCTTAATAATTTGTGCTCCAAATTATCACTAAACGTCACCATTTTTAACAATATCTAATTAAAAGTGTTCTGGCATATAACGTCATATATTTGTCATTAATGATATCAAATTAATGAATTTTCATACACAAGTATATCAGCTAGATCAAAGAGTATTTATGGAGGTAAAGTTTGTGACATTATATTTCCGTATAGCCTGGTAATAAAGAAAAATTCATTGACAATGCTACTTTTAAAAGTCAATAAACTGCAGTGTGCAGACCACCGATATTTAACACCCTTTAAATGCCGTTTTTACATATTAATGACATCACAAGCCTAAAATATTTTGTCATAATACTGAAAATATCATTTTCCAACAACTTGCAAAAAATTATTAGTTCTGGTCAAATAGTTTCTGAAATATACAAAAAGTTTGTGTTTTCTGGGACAACCCTCATATATATGAGGTCTTTGCCGAGTTCGGCCAAAGCAACTTTACTTACATCAGCTGTTTGTCAAGTGACATGTTTAAAATTACAAAAAATATGTATGGCTACAAAGATCATAAAGTACAACGATATATGGATATCTTTTCACTATGAAATTAATTTTGTTTTCTTTAAGACTAATTCCTTAACCTGAAAAGTGCTGGGAGCAACTTCCCCATGCCTGAGAATTATGTAAAATTTTTGATAAACTTCCTACATTGACATAATATGCATTGAAATAATGGTAAAATACGAAAAAAAGCAACAGCGCACAACCAGCTCCTGGCACTTTTCAAAGTAGTAGGGATGTTACTACCTTTGTATAATAAAGTGCCCCGCCACAGCATGATACGCCCGTCAAATATTGTTCAATTATCACGAACAGTTTAGAGTGCAAGAAAATAAAGTCAACCTTGATACAAGGATTTCCAAGATTTTTCCATTTCTTACAATTTTTGTTTATACATTTCCTGTGGTGTAGGCATTATAACAAATATTACATTGTAGATCCTCAACTGGTAGTGTTAGAGCTTGACAAATGCCCATCTGCACCCCCCCCCCCCCCACACACACACACACACATCTTTCATATTTGTGAGACATGATTCTCTGAAATTTACTAGTTGATATTTTCAAAACATAGGTAATCAAAGATTACTAAGCTCACCTCGACGAATGTTATCTATAAGTAAGGTAAATCTCACATCATATTTTTTTCCTAGTTAGTGTACATTCCAAGATTAATATCCATCAATATTAGATTCAGAATCCAAAGTAAGTCTGGAACTGTCCATCTCTAGATACATCATCATTCATGTTAATTTGGTTAAAATATGGCTAAAATTCACTCATGTGGAAAATCTAGGTCAGATCCAGAATCCAAAGCAGGTTAGTTAGTGTACATCCCTAGATGCATCATCCATGCAAGTTTGGTCCAGGTAGGGCTTATATTTACTTGGGAATGGACCTGCTCCAAAAAAACTTTAACCTGATCAATCATCTGGAAAATCTAGGTCAGATCCAGCATCTGAAGCAAATATGGTAGTGTCTATCCCTAGATGTATCATCCATGCAAATTTGGTCCAGGTAGGGCTTTTAGTTACTTGGGAATGGACCTGTTCCAAAAACTTTAACCTGGTCACTCATCTGGAAAATCTAGGTCAGATCCAGCATCCCAAGCAAGTGTGGTAGCGTCCATCCCTAGATGCATTATCCACGAAAGTTTGGTCAAGGTAAGGCTTAAATAATCACTTGGGAATAGACCTGCTCCCAAACCTTTAATCTAGTCACTCATCTGGAAAATTTAGGTCAGATCCAGCATCTGAAGCAAGTATGGTAGATTCCTTCCTTTGATGCATCATCCATGCAGGTTTGGTCCAGGTAGGGCTTATAATTGGGTACCTGCTCCAAAAACTTTAACCTAGTCACTCATCTGGAAAATCTAGGTCAGATCCAGCATCTGAAGCAAGTGTGGTAGTGTCCATCCCCAGATGCATCATCCATGCAAGTTTGGTCAAGGTAGGGCTAATAGTTTCTTGGGAATGGACCTGCTCCAAAAACTTTAACCTAGTGACCCATCTGGAAAATCTAGGTCAGATCCAGCATCCAAAGCAAGTGTGGTAGTGTCCATCCCTATATGCATCCTCCATGCAAGTTTGATTCAGGTAGGGCTTATAATTACTTGGGAATGGACCTGCTCCAAAAACTTTAACCTGGTCACTCATCTGGAAAATCTAGGTCAGATCCAGCATCCGAAGCAAGTGTGGTAGTGTTCATCCCTAGATGCATCATCCATGCAAGATTGGTCAAGGTAGGGCTAATAGTTACTTGGGAATGGACCTGCTCCAAAAACTTTAACCTAGTGGCCCATCTGGAAAATCTAGGTCATATCCAGCATCCAAAGCAAGTGTTGTAGTGTCCATTCCTAAATGCATCCTCCATGCAAGTTTGATCCAGGTAGGGCTTATAGTTACTTGGGAATGGACCTGCTCCAAAAACTTTAACCTGGTCAATCATCTGGAAAATCTAGGTCAGATCCAGCATCCGAAGCAAGTGTGGTAGTGTCCATCCCAATCTGCATCATCCATGCAAGTTTGGTCCAGGTAAGGCTTATAGTTACTTGGGAATGGACCTGCTCCAAAAACTTTAACCTGGTCACTCATCTGGAAAATCTAGGTCATATCCAGCATCCGAAGCAAGTGTGGTAGTGTCCATCCCTAGATGCATCATCCATGCAAGTTTGGTCCAGGTAGGGCTTATAGTTACTTGGGAATTGACCTGCTCCAAAAACTTTAACCTGGTCACTCATCTGGAAAATCTAGGTCAGATCCAGCATCCGAAGCAAGTGTTGTAGTGTCCATCCCTAGATGCATCAACCATGCAAGTTTGGTCCAGGTAGGGCTTATAATTCCTTGGGAATGGACCTGCTCCAAAAACTTTAACCTGGTCAATCATCTGGAAAATCTAGGTCAGATCCAGCATCCGAAGCAAGTGTGGTAGTGTCCATCCCTAGATGCATCATCCATGCAAGTTTGGTCCAGGTAAGGCTTATAGTTACTTGGGAATGGACCTGCTCCAAAAACTTTAACCTGGTCACTCATCTGGAAAATCTAGGTCAGATCCAGCATCCGAAGCAAGTGTTGTAGTGTCCATCCCTAGATGCATCATCCATGCAAGTTTGGTCCAGGTAGGGCTTATAGTTACTTGGGAATTGACCTGCTCCAAAAACTTAAACCTGGTCACTCATCTGGAAAATCTAGGTCAGATCCAGCATCCGAAGCAAGTGTTGTAGTGTCCATCCCTAGATGCATCATCCATGCAAGTTTGGTCCAGGTAGGGCTTATAATTCCTTGGGAATGGACCTGCTCCAAAAACTTTAACCTGGTCAATCATCTGGAAAATCTAGGTCATATCCAGCATCTGAAGCAAGTGTGGTAGTGTCCATCCCTAGATGCATCATCCATGCAAGTTTGGTCAAGGTAGGGCTTATAGTTACTTGGGAATGGGACTTGCTCCTAAAACTTTAACCGGGACGCCGACGCTAACGCCGACGCCGACGCCAACGCCGGGGGTATAGCATAAGCTCATCTCGACTTCGTCGAGGTGAGCTAAAAATTAAATAAAAATATCATATTAAACAAAATCAATTTAGTCTTAACAACTTAATCTATACCAATTTAATTTTAAAATAAAAGACTGGCCATCAAATGACATATGCTATAAAGTGACCAGCAGTTCTTCTGTCTAATTCCCAAAGGATACAGATAAGAACTGCTTGATCAGAGATGCTCTAACAGAAATGATTGAGAACAGCTAGCCTTCCTACACTGAACTCATTAATTAATCTTTAACTGGATGCATGTCCACTCATTACTCCCAAGGGATGAATGGATCTGTGCTATCTGCTTTGTAGTGCAATTAAAATGAATATTTATGTCATTCTGAAATTAAATTTGAAAACAAAGATTTTTTTTTTTCAATTTGTTACAAAGATTTATAAAAAGAAAAAAAAATTGTAATCTTGATGCAACATTTTTAATAAGGTTTCTGCTTGACTCTTAGATTTGTAGGGACTATCTATTAGTTTATTATACAATATCAAATTA